CGTTATCGGTATTTTGTGACTCGAATTGAACATTCCGGGGGCATTGTTGGCCTCTTAAAGAATTGGCAATGCTTGATTCGTTGTATAATTGTTTCTTTCTTTTTGAAGGAAGGCATGTTAGAATCCCAAGAAAATTTCGATTCTCCAGAAGAGGAAAAACACAGGCAATTTCTGTAGAATTGTAATCGTGTGGACACATAGTATTTATTTTAGTGGACAAATGAACGTATATTTGAGTTGAAAATGAATCAATAAAGAGACATCATCAAATGAGCTAATTGACTCTATATCAGTCACTCTTCGTTCTCTCATTCCTGTCAACTGTTTTTTCTTTCTCTATTTCAAAATACTGTCTGTCCTTCGGACTCATCCACAACCAGTACATCCTAGAGACCTCTGCTTTACATGTGAATATTTTTCGTCGACGAATGTTAACCCTGACAGATCGGTCGACAGCTACTCGATGGTGGCTCAACAGGAGGTTGACGTGGTCACTCGGTCGATGGCTGGTCGATCGTTGGTTGAGCACTCGCAGAGGGTTAGTCGATCGATGGTCGATCGCAGGTCGATTAGTATGGTTGATCGTTGTTCGATTGATGGTTGATCGCTGATCGATGGCTGGTCAATCGTTAGTTGATCACTGGTAGAGTGATCGATGGTTAGTCAATTGTTGGTTGATTGTTAGTCGATTGTTGGTCGATCGATCACAGAGAAAAAAAAATCATGAAATTGATCAATTCATCATGGTTAAATTTATCCTTCGAAGAATGATAAACTCAACCATCATATCGCATCTTTTTGTAGAGAAAATTCTAGAAATGATACGTATTATTCTTATTTTCATCCATTTTTTTCTTGAATCTGAAATTCTTCCGATAAATTCTATGTCTCTTTTTACTAGACGCTAGAAACTTCGATTGTAAACTTGCATTTTTTGAAATATTTTTCTTTCTAAGGAGAATTCGTGTGAGTTGTGCCAAAAGGTCGTATAAACATTTTTTTTGTTTTTTCAAAAAAATTGTCTTGAAAAATTGGGCTTAGATGACTCAGAATCATCAAAAACGTGGAGATTTCATATTTCCTGGGAAAGTTTCCGTACGACCTTTTGGCTCAAATTTTCAGTGAAAAAAATTACGCGTAAAAAAATCAAAAAAATTGTCTCATAAAATTAGGCTCAGATGACTCAGAATAATCCAAAACGTGGAGATTTCGTATTCTCTGGGAAAGTGTTTATACGACCTTTTTGCCTAAATTTTCAAAATTCTTCAAATTCCTTGTAGAAAAATAAAAAATTTGGTTCCGAAAAGATAGGCTCAGATGATTATCTGAATTATCTGAAACGTGGAGATTTCATATCCACTGGGAAAATGTTTATACAACCTTTTGGCACAAACTTTCTGGAAAACCAAAAAAAATGTTTATACGACCTTTTGGCACAACTCACGCGAATTGTCCACTTTAGGGGATAGTGAATCTGCACGTTTCAGATGATTCTGAATCATCTTAACCCAACTTTTGAGGACAATTTATTTTTTATGGCACGTTGTGCAATAAGTCGAGTTTATCGCACGCTGCGCTTTGCGCAGACCCATTATCCCCTACAGAAACATTTTTCTGCATTTTTTTGCGCTTTGCGCAGCGTGCTTCAAACTCGACTTCTGCCCGATGTGGCATAAAATAGTATAGACCACTCGGGCATAAACTTCGTTCTTCGTTCGCCTTCGGCTCGGCCTGTAAACTTCACATTCGTCGAAAACGAAATTTCTGCCCTTGTACTCTAATGTACTATGATTTTTTAAAGGGAAATGGGAAATTTGAAATTGGGGCAAAAAGTAAGAAAAAATGTTTCTTTAGGGAATAATGGGTCTGCACGTTTCAGATGATGCTGAATCGTCTGAGCCCAACCTTTTAGAACATTTTTTTCCACTTTTTTCAAAGATTTAATTCAAAATTTCCTTTCATTTTGCTTTTCATTTTGAAAATGTGCTAATGAGGGGAACTTAATCCCCTAATTCGATAAATTCCAGAATATTTTTGCCTTGAAACCATTATTTTTTGGTTGATTAATTTCATTTATTCATTTCCTGAAATTGTTTTTTTTCCTAGATTTTAGCCGGATCCAAGTTCTAAACTGCAGATTCTACAATCTAGAAAAAAAAATTTTGAATTCACTTTTTTTTTTCTCTGTGATGGTTGATCGTTGGTCGATTGACGGTCGATCGATGGCTGACCGTTGGTCGATAGATGGTTGATCGCTGGTCGATTAATGATCACTCCTTGGTTGGTTTCGATGATTGATCAATCGAATCATGATCGATTAGCACTCGATCACGTGAACAACTCGAACCTCCCCTCGAGTGATCCGTTCAGGCCAAATTTTTACTAGGGAACTCTCAAAACGAAAAACGACCGTAATAAAATTGTAACACGTCGGAAATACTTTTCATTTTACACTTCACTCGAACATACTCAAAAAATGACCTTTTTTTCCAATGGAATATTTTGCGAAAACTTATCGTCCCTAATATTCAGTCTACAATGAACTATTCTACTAAATATCTGGCAACACAACGCCTTCTCAATACTTCATACCTCTTCAATAGGTCATTTCTTCAGACTAAAACACACCTTCACACATTGTAGCCTAATGACTATTCGATGACATCTCCAAGACATGAAAGCAGCCATCGGAACTAGTCTTTTACAGCACCCTGCTTTAATTCTTAGAGAGAAACTTTAATGTAAAAAGTCCATCAGCTGCAGTCGTGCTTAGCAATTAGAGCGCTGGACAAATATTAAACCTTGGATGAAAGAGGGAATATATAGACCTTAGTTAGCTTCAGGCTGGCCACTTGTCGCCAACGACACGCCTGAAATCCCAGTGCCACCTCTCTGTCTCGCTCATTGTAGTTTTGAGGCCAGTGGGCAATTAAGGCGCATGGGTAAGAGGGGGATTTTACACCGGAAAGGGAATTTCGGCGCCGCGTTTCATAAAACCCCTGATGTTGGGGACTCTTGGTCTTGTTCTACATTAGGGGAGATAATTGTGCTGGTTTCATTTGGGTGGAGTGTGAGGTAATAACGAGGAAAGTGGGCGAACCTGGCGTTGAAACAAAAATTGAAGATTCAGGCAGTAAAAACTTGTTGAATTATCATTTTTTGGTAACTAAAATCAAGCAAAACTCAAGTGATGATGGTTATTTTACCATTTTTGCCAGTGTCTTGATAATGGTTATGTTGCCATTTTTTTTAGAAGAATAAAAAAACGGTTTACAGAAGACGATAATAAACCTTTATTAGGGACAATAAAGTTATTTACAAATCATTCCTAGATATTTTTCAGAAATTAAATTCATAAAAAGATATAACTTCCTTTCCAAAAATGTGCTGCACAATCAGTTGAGATTACTCTACATATATCTTCAAAATTGAAAGATTTATAAGAAAACATCAAGAAACCTTTTAGATAATGAAGGGAATTCTCTATGAAAAAGATGTTTTGACATTTGGAGAAATAAGAACGTTGATGAAATTGTCAAAAGGAGCGACGTTGCGCTAAATTATTTTAGCTTTTTCAGGCTCTGGAAGAGACAAAAACAAACAGAATATACAGACAAATGTCAATCTGAATATAAATAATTAAGGACATTTAGCCAAAACCCACATTATTCACCATAATTTTGATATTGTCTCATATACCAGATTGATATTTGAACCAGACGTTAGTAATAATCTTAATCACATTATTGGCTTCCGGATGGATGCCGCGTTTGGTTTCAGCATTGCGCCGACGTTTCGCAAACATGCAGTCTGCATCTTCAGGGCTACGAGCTCCGATTCTGAGCTCTGATGTTTAGGGGTTGTCCTTATACGTCTTCTCCTGTGATGGTAGGGAACGGTGAGGAGGAAGGGGAAAGGGGGTTCAGCCAATCGTATGTTTTAATTGATCAGCTGGTCAATTAAAAATGCTAAAACCAAACGCGGCATCCATCCGGAAGCCAATAATGTCATTAATAATGCCCGCGAAAGCTTAAAAACTAAGAATAATCTTAACCCTTCCATCGGGGTATACTATAGTGAGAAATTAATGTCTGAAAATCACTTCTTGTAACATTACGCTTAGGGAAGAAATGTGACCGTGTGAACTTTAATCAAGATGTTGCATGGGTTAAATACTCAAGATATTGAAAATAAACCACAAGCCATTTACTTTAGACTAAGGAGAATTTATCGCCTGCGAGAACAAGTAGGGGACCGGGCCATATGGACGTGATATCTTCGGTTGATTTTCGAATTCCTCTAAAAAAATTTGACCGCCATTACGAGTCGAGCAACGCGACAACACCACACAACAGCACATCGAATTCGATAAAGTCGGTGATGATAATTCATTGCTGGAAGCATATGGGCACGCATAGCACACACAAACATTCATCTCACTGTTACAACCCCACTACTAGCCGAAGCGTACGATGTTGTCCGATCAAAATTCGACTGTTACTACTGCAGTCACAAGTCCTCCATTATCTGTGAACAATTTCTTTAATTATTGTTTTTGAAACTGGAAAAGTACGCTATAATACTTCTAATTTGATGAGAAAAATAATTAATAACTTGAATGATTTATTTGGTCTATTCTATTTTTCTTTTCAACTGAGTTGTCCACTCGACAGGGTAAATATCCTTAAATTCCGTAAACATAAAAACTACAACAAGATGACATTCGTCTGTATATTCCGTTGGTTTTTGTTTCTTCGCGAGCCTGAGGATGTGAAAATAATTTAGCGAAACGCTTCTTTTGACAAATTAATCAGCATTGTTGTTATTTGTCCAAAAACCCTGATTCCATCGCTTTAATTTACAAATATGGAAATGATTGAGAACATCAATCGTTTCGACATTTTTGCTCTAACTTCTTTCTTCTCGACGTATTTCCTAAATACTGTCCCATAACAGTCACGTTTAGTCAACGTTCTAATCCCATAATTTGTGGTCTGCAGGTCTGCTCAGGTGGGCCAGGCCAGAGGCTATCAACTGATCAATATCACGCCTGCATCCGTTCCCGCGCCCTAAACGAGGCCTCTCACGCCCAATTAGGTTTCCTCGCCTTCCGCGATGACATCGCCAGCCAAGCGATGAACCTCCAGGGCGCCCTAACAAAAAAAAAGAAAAAACCAGCGCCATCAGGCCCCAAGAAGGACACAGCGAGGCTCTCCCGTACCAGATCGAATCCGGACTCACAGAAAGACAAATCCTCTGGTAAATCCTTCAAGGATAAGACCTGATCGATTCACCAATCCCCGGACTGTGTAAATATCGTGTAAAAATGAATGAAAGTAGCTAAAGTGCAACGGGGATAATCCCTCCTATGGATTCCAAAACAGAACGATAAGTATATGATTATCGTAGCGTTTTCATGGCCATCTGATCTCGCAAGACTTGAGAAACTTCACCAAAAACGTTGGAGGAGGAAGAATTGTGGATTGAATATATCTGAATTATTCAAATCGTCATGTGATTCAAACTCTCGTTTGCTTTTTGAACGAGAGCTTTAAGCGTCTTAATTTGTTACAAAAAAATCTCATAATTACAACGTTATAATGGTGTACCATTTGTTGCATAGCTTATTTATACGAGAAATCGGAATTTCTATTATAGAATAAAGCAAGACCAACCAGACGTATCAGTTTTATACGTTATATATGTGAAAGCTAAAGCTCCAACCACAGGATGTCAATTAGATTGCACGAAAATATCAACTTCGACCTATTTCTATACAATGACAAGACCATTTTTATTTGTACATTGGGCCAGAGGAGGAATTCTACTTTAAATATTCAATATTCGCATGGCATCGTTCATCAGTATTATTTTCATTTTTATTACGTCTCAATAAAGTAATTTATTAATGAAGAAGTTTGACATGTTTGAGAGGAGTAATTGTTAATCATCGGTTGGATGATGCATTGGATAATTTGTTCGAAAGAATTGAAATGCCGACTATTAAGCAATAAAGATAACGAGTAAATTTTTCAAATCAGAATTCTGTCTAATTAATTAACCGACCATTCATTCCACTCAGCTGATGGAAGAACGTGAAAGAAGGTTATGTTTCGCGTTTTTTCATTATGGAAAGATTGCGGATGATGGATGATGTATAGCTAAAATGGCCTGAGTAAAAATATAACGAATATCATTCAAGTATCTCCTTCACAAACCCCAGAGAGATAAATTGAATGAGACTAGAGTAATTAATTACTCTGCTTTCAAGCAGATGAAGTGAACTTGATATTCAGCTGTATGAAGATGACATCTCAGACGATTTAAGCCTACTCGCCTGAAGACAAACCAACATGAATCTTAATTATTTGTGAGAATTTTAATGTAATTAAACTTTCTTGAACGACGCTTTGGAGTTGCTTTGGAGTTATCCAAGGTTCACTTTCTACTGACTACCCTGGAACTTGTGGGTTAGTTATCCGCGAACATATTGATGAACAGTGTGTACGGATCTCCGGTAAAAGTGCTGGCGGCATCCGCAAAAAGTTGCTACATCCGAAAACTTTTGGAACGGGATAAAGTTTGTTGAAACCCATGACTTCTCATTTTACTTTACCTTTTTGAAGGAGGAAGTTAGAGTTAAACAACTCCTAGAGAATTTTTTAGTCGTGGTTAACAAGTATTCATTACATGATTCCATCAGAAAATTTTGAAGGTATTTGTGATTAACATTGATTGGGTAATAATCCTTGGACTGATGCGTTCCGAGAGAAACTGTAAAAAAAACCTTTCCTTCTAATGCGAAAACTTTCATCTGTTGGAGAAAAACGAAACTCTATTCATGCCAGAAAAGTATTGACATCTCATTGAAAATTTCTGCCGCAGCCCGAACTTTTTGATCACCTCCTGTCCCTTAATTATTGGATAAGTTTTGATGAACAACAGTTGTCTATAAAACTACGAGAGCAGAATGCAAGTCCATATAACGAATCAGCATAAAGAGGACAAACTCACCTAATTGGTCTATCAATTCTCCTCGTTGGCCAGACTCACCAAAACTTTAGCTATTTGTGTTTATCGAAGGTAAGTAAGACTAATCTTCTCTCCATACATTATCACATCCCTCAGACTTGCCACCATAATTCTCAATTTCCTTTTCATAACAAGAAGAAAGTAACTGAGGTAACTAAGGAAAAAACGAATTGCCCCCATCTTTATAACATTTTCAACAAAATTTTTTCTTCTCATTTCAAGAATCTCGGGTGTCAGGAACAAGTAGCACGGCGTGATGCAGACACAGCAATGTCGTCTAGCCACGAGAATAAGATTCTCTTTGATGTTGGCAAAGGGCCTATGTGCCTCCGCTTCCACCACGTCTCTACTCTCATTTTTATCCACCCCTTCCACCAACATTTTCACTCCCTCCTCTTTCCTTGAGATCACAATTTCCGGATGGCGCTCTGACATCATACTTGGCTCGTGGGTAGGCTTGGCCGCACTGACGAAAGCCAACCCCCTCGAGCAGTTTTCTAAATTGCCCGATGATAAAGGGTGGAAGAGGGGAGAGCTTTCTTAGGTCCTTTAGGTTCATGATCTTATTGTTTCTAGTCTGAGTTAGTTTTCGTCTTGTGAGATACAAATGCCTTTTGGGGGGCTCAAGTCTTATCCTGAGGTAGATGGTTAACAAGGTCATTTAGACATTATTGGGAGAAATGGAGAATGGGTGGGAATTTCTTCTTTTGGTTTATTCGCTTTTTTTCATCTAGTCAATAATAGTCGAGTACTCGATAGAACTACCTCGATCGATATATATTTTCCGTACTGACCTTCACTTTTCCCAGTCCGGGGATTGGTATTGACCCTTCCCCAAACTGGCAAAGTAAAAATCACTACGGAAAAATATCGCTCGCACCTAGTGCCACAGGGGTTTTCGATGTGTGTGAGGTTGTCACACCGAACAGAAGGCGAGGCGTGCCAATCACGAATCGAAAACCCCTGTGGCACTCAACGCGAAATATGCTATTTCATGACTGAAGAAAAGTGGGGGACAATAAGTCTCACGGAAGCTTTTTTCTCATTGCACCACTTTCGAAATTCAGTAGTGTATCACATTTCAATATCCCACTGATTTTCTCCCATTACATATTTTCAGTGTTTCGATTATATTATTATATTTTCAAACGATTTAATAGCTATTTATAGGTTAGCTATTAATTCCGGCATTTCAGAGTCCCTATATCTGAAAATCTCACCATTATGGTCAACAGCATGGAAATTAGAATCATCACCAGTTGTCACAAGTCTTCACTACAGAAATCTATCTGAATAATAAATCTCATATTAACAAAGTTTGAAAAACCGATAAACAAATAATCACTCATCATTTCAATCAAAATTGAAACCCCTTCCCCTCCAATTTATCCTCTGTACTAGGGGAGCTGGTGCATATGCCGCCCACATACCCTAGTGGAAATTCCAAAATTATAGCGTAACATACCTGATCAAAATGTAATAAGGTAACCTGATCAGTGTCTGATCAAGTTCTGACTAAAATTTCAACTCGGGTATGATTCAATTTGAGAGTGAAATTCGTAAGTGTCCTGGTAGCTCAGATGGTAAGAGCACCCGACCCGACATTGGGAGGTCCCGGGTTCGACTCCCGGCTAGGAAGTTACTAATTTCTTTCTCTCAAAAAAAATTAAATGTAATTAATACCTAATGATGGTAGGCGGCGAAACGCTAGTGGAAAATCCAAAATTATAGCGTAACAGACATGATCAGAATCTGATAAGGTAACCTGATCAGTGTCTGATCAAGTCCTGACTAAAATTTCCACTCGGGTACCCGAGTAGAAATTTCATCGGTTTATCGTCGGTTACAGATGAGGTGCAACCGACATGGTCACCGGTGCCACATAGGTTTCGATCTACAAGGAACTCATCAAAACGTCACGCAGTTACCTCACAAGTTACAAGTAGGTTGTAACCCATCAAAAACTCACGTGATTATTTATTAACCTCATTATTATTAACAATTTTTTTTTTTCGTTATTTTACATCGCTTCCACCCGGTTAGAGTATACTAGGCTATACTATACTGCGATGATGATCAGGACTTTAAATGGTTAGATCGCACCATTCTACCCGGCCGGGATTTGAACTCGGAACCTTTCGCATGTGAGGCAACGACCCAGGTAAAATGGGACAACTGGGCAAGCCGTAGCTCAGACTTGGTTCAATTGTACCGAGGGATGGAGCAACTCTGATTTGGACACCGAATCTAGGCTGGCTCGGAGATGGGATGTCACATCGGACCAAAGGTTGAGACCAGATCCTCGGTCCGATGGTGGGGGATGGAAAATTGGTTGATGCTCGTAATTCGGAACTGGGCCATGACTTACCAATGACGTACCAATGTTCCAGGATTGGGCCAATATAATCACTCACTAGAATTCACAGAAAAATAAAGAAATAATGCAGAACATGAATAATATATTAACATCAAAAGTGAACATCGAAGTGAATTGACATGAATACGAACATGAATAATAAACAAATTAAATCGAGTGAACGAACATCCATAATAAATTAATTAAATCGAGTCAGCGATCTAACGAGTGTGAACATGTTGCTTTCTATGCCCTATTCGCTCGACCTCCGTCGCGATCTGGAGCCCAAGATAGATACTTCCCTGTATAACTCTCAACATTCATATTCAGTTGAGGATATTTTTTCACTACGACATCTGAAAAATAAAACGAATAAAGCTAATATTGTGTTAGTAGTCACTTTGAACAGTACTAACAAACGCTTCAAGTAATATGGTTGCAAGAAACGCAAGAATGTTATCTTCCTTAAATACATCCCCTTCAATGCGATTTTCTAACCCATTTCTGATTCCCAAGTATACGTATTCACTGACAGTATGTTTTTTTTTGACACTCTACACTGAGATTTTATAGCATGAGGGAATCCTAAGAGTGTATTCACACATAAAGTTAGATCTGCATACCCCTCACTATTCAGCACTTTTAAGAGATCAGTCACTACCCGAGTTGAAATTTTACCGGGTCTCCCAACGTAGTTTCAAGGTCCACTGGTGGGTTTAGGACGTTGAAAGTACGTTGTCCAGCGTACAGGCTCAAATGCACCGATTCAACCTACTCTTGACGTAAATACCGTCTCTTTTTTCCATTTTTTCCAGATTGTACGTTGAAATTAGGTTGAAACTAAACGTATCATCAACGTTCCTCCACCGTACATTCTTTCCTTCCTTCCTCCCCCCTTCCCTCTTCACACTACCAATTCCATTCTAAAATCGATTAATTGATTAAATCTTGCATAAATTAATCGGTGGAAGAATGGCAAAAATATAAATATTATTAACTCGGTGAAACAAAACAGGGAAAAAACGAAAAAAACGGATCGGTCTATTAGTACTCGACATATCATTGCTTGTAGTTCTGCGGTGTTCCCTTTCGGTCACCCATCCTTTTTCTGTTTTTACTCGCTACTGCTCAAGCTCAGTGATCGCAGGGTATCCCGGTATGCTTCTGAGCTGTACAGTTGCTTGTGGCGAGTTGTATTTTTTTGGGTTTATATAAGCAACTAATAAGAAGAAAAAGAGGAAAAAACAGCAAGAAAGTAGGCAATAAAGTAATACAGGAAATTAAGAGGGAATGGGCAGGGGGAAGAGATGAGAGGAAATTGGAGTCCATATAGGTCTAAGGCGTCTAAGGGTCGGACCCTTCATATAAAAGTCAGTGAGTGTAAAGATCCGATAAGTGTAAGAGTTAGTTGAGTCTGCAGAATCACGTGAATCTAAAGGTTGAGTTTAAGGGTCAGTTGTGTTCAAGTGTCAGTTGAGTTTAAGGGTCAATTGAGTTTAAGAGTTAAATGAATCTAAGGGTCGGATGAGTATGAGAACCAGATGGGTTTTTTTTATCAATAAGCGTAAAACCTTCAGCATGGAACCAGATGAATATAAGGGTCAGCCGAGTCCGAAGAATCACACGA